GATATGTCTGCCGAAACAGTAGCGAGAAATGTCATCCAACACTGGATTTCTAACTCTGGTGTCCCAAGTGCCATCACCACAGATAGAGGCGCGCAGTTCGAGAGTAGTCTATTTCAACGATTGACCGAACTGCTTGGGATCAGGCCCATAAAAACTGCTGTGCACCATCCTGCATTCGGTGGTATTGTTGAAAGGTCCCATCGGCAACTAAAAGCAGTACCGATGGCAATAAAGACCGATGACAAGTGAAGTGACAAATTACCGCTAGTACTCCTTGGTATACATTCCGGTGTCAAGCAGGACATTGGCCAGGAGAGTATTTTAACCTAGCAGCAGACGTTCCACTGGACTTGACTAACTATGTGCAACAACTACGGCGACACATGGGCACACTACGAACTCAGTCCACGCCATACCGAGACAACCAAGTTTACGCGCATCAGTGCATCTGAAACTGCACTCACGATTTTGTCGGTCACGATGGCATACGAAAACCCCTACAATCCCCGTATGGCGGACCTTTCAAAGCAATTAGTAAATCAGACAAGGTTGCCACAGTCGAACGCTTCGGCAAACGAGAAGTGGTCATCACTGACAGAATCAAGCCAGTGAAGCAACCGGAAAAACAAGAAAACATCGTCAGAACGGAAACAGCAGCGTCGGAATCTTCCACAGCTAGCAACAGTGGCAGAACCACAAGGTCCGGAAGAGGAGTCCGTTGTCCATAACGTTACTTTCAGACAACTAACTTTTGGTAAAACCAAGGCCCTACCAACATGATTACCGCCTTTCGTTCTCTACCTTATTGAAAACGTGGTCACACTGTCTTGCCAGACTTTTCTGCAGGCACCAAAAAAACATTTTCGCCTGACGCTACGGACTTCCGAATCTTTTGTTTCTTGACAGTGTTCCGCGTATTGCGGTTTCGGTCTTTCTTTTTGTCTTCGTATATACTGTCACTTCGGTAAATTTATTTTAGTGTTTCGACTATCATACAATCGATTTTCAGGTAAGTATTCTTCCGATCACTTTTCATCCTGATAATAGATATCCTTAACATTCCTTGTAAGCCTTAAATATCTTCTAAACGAATTTATCTTTACCAGACAACATTTTGTATCGAACACAGATATTCCCTCTTGTATCTGCATTCTGGGGAGGGACCTATGTGGTGTTTTGTTTCTCAGTATTGTGATGATATATTTCACCACTCATAACTGAACATTTCGCTTAGCCGAACTGATTTAAAAATATTTTCGCCCGCTCCTTGACCAATGCAATATCCTGATATATACTTGGCGTTGACTCCTGATATTTACACTGTCTGACGCAGGCGGATCAGCCACATCGGGAATAGTAAGCAGGCGATGGTGTATCCGGACGCCTTTGCGAATTTGGAGTCAGATTTCAGAACTTGACAGCCCAAAAGCTTTAAAGACAATCCCGAAAATCGACTGCCTATAGTTCAGAGATTTATAACATAGATGGTAACCTTCATATTTCCGATGGAATCCTTTGACTGAAGAAGCCCCATCAAGTTTTCATACCATTCAGCACATTTCCATGAGCAACTATGTTAAGGACCGACGATCCTTCACGCATCCGGCTTCTTTTTGGCATGATTCGACAAGCTTTCTATCTCCATCCAGTAACCAACTTGTTTTCCTCTTGGTCTTAAGCCCACGTGTTTAGAACAAATACTTCGAACTGGTGGTTGACATATTGCCCTATCCAGACCCCATACTCAACCTTCAAGATCCTTCACCAACATCCAACCTTACTGGTGATGGAAATGTGACACTGATGAACATTGTTCAAGTCATCTTTATATACTAGAGAATTCATAAAAATAAAAGGAAAACGACTACCGTGATGTTATTCTCTTGTCCGTACAGGACACTAACTGTTACTCTGGAACGTTTTCAAGGTCATACATTATTTAGTGACGTCTGTTTTAAACGTTTTGGGCCATTTGAATGTTAGTATATTTTCTCGTGGACATTTGAAGTGAAGGTTTCATTAGGTTCGGCAAACAGTAAGTGGTATTTATTAAGGTCCAGCGTAAAATTAGTAGGAGCCGGTCAAGTTCTTATTCAATCCATATTCTAGTGAACAATCAGGAAGGTGCTGTAACCGAACACTAAGGAATGTGATAAAAGTTACTCTAGGTACTATAAGTTCATCTAACACGGAGAACGAATATCTCAGTCTTTTCTCACATCAGACACTGCAAGAGGTGGGACAGTGGTCCGCACACTTTTCAAAGTCATTAGCAGCTTGCCCTGTACCGGCTTTCCCAGTCAGCGTTAAGTTTGGGCGCACTTTGGAAACTTCAGAAGTCATTCTAGACATATTTCAATCCCACTTACGCATTTCGAGGAAATCCTCCACGCCTCCCACTATTTTATGTTGGTCTTTGCGTCGTAAGAACTTCGAAACCTGAGTTCCTGATTAAGCTGAAGAATCCTATTGCAATAAGTACCACACTGAAGAACATTCCAAGATACAGTCTTAAAACGAAGCAAAAATACTTCCTCATGGACTTCAGGTGCGTTGCCGAGGTTTTGGGAAATTAGGGACTCTTGACGATTTGGAGGAGAAACTTTCACTGTTCGGGTGAAATATTGCTCATCCTTTAGTGTTAGTGTTTTGACCGAAAATCCCAGACTGAATGCTAGGTGTATCGCCTAATAATACTGAATCATGAACTCAGTTATAATCTCCTCTATCCTTAATTTTGATCCCAAGCAGATTAACATCATAAGTTTGTGAACAATCTACGGGGAAATCCGTGAATGGCTGATTTTCAGCTGTTAATATAATTGGGGTTAGGACTCATGTTAGATGTTGGGTGGAGTTGGTGGCATTATAGAAACTCAACCAATGTTAGGGAAAAATGATTGGGCTTGCAAACTCCATGATAATCGTACCTCCCATTCGAGAGTTTCTTAAGGTTCTAGGAGGGCAAATTTTTGAATGCCGCTAACGTGTGGACTTTGTTGCTAACTTTGGTATTTTACCATGGAAATTAGTTGAACTGTCAACTCGATGTGAAATTCGAAGTCGAAGATAAGACATGAATAAGCAACAAATATGGTCATATATGTTGATAAAGACGAAACTGGATGTTTTCTAGTGTGACAGGAGTATATTTATACATCTTCTTCTGAACCCATCTATTTAGACTGAACTATTGTCTTTGCTACTGTCCATACGTCGTAGCTCTAAGGATACTCAAGAACGTTTAACATGGCTTTGGTTTCATTTTATCCATCAACTGCTGCAGACCTTTGTTAAGTGTATAGGTAGGTCGGTGCAAGAGATGCTTGGAAAAGCGTTAGTTGTGCGATGAATGTTCACAGCCCAATAATGAGAAAAATGGGAACAGCATGGTCCGGCGGTTCAGTAAACACATAGGATCGGCATATGTTTTATGATACAAGAAATTTAAAAAAGATACTACGGGCCTACTTAGATCATTCTAAGGTGAGGTTTGCTAAGTCGACATTTTTATGAGCAGAAAAGTTTAGTCTTGGTAGTAATAGAATGTAAGTCATGTTACTCATTATCCGCCTATCCAAATTTAATATTGTGTTTTCGTAGGCACACCTAAGATTTAAGGCATTTTGGAAAGGCTAAGATATACTTCAGAATTGTTGGAATAAAACAAAAAGCATCATTTCGTAACTCTTCCTAATGTGTCAGTGAGAACTGGTTTCATGCGGATTTTTTCTAGAGTTTTGAAGTGAACCCAGAGTTGTCGCTGTAACCCATCTTTCGTGTACCCTGGCGTCAATTTTAGGGCATTTATTATCCTTAATATTCCCAGGAAAAGACGGGTGGGGTCCTTCAAATAGTTAAAAGCAGTAATGATTCATCACTCTTTAATCAGTTCACACTTCACCAGTCGATGTAAAGGTTCATTTTCTCTCTCGGTGTGTCAATGTCATTCTGCAACCCTCGTTTTTCCAATAAAAGCCACAGTATTACTCCAAATACCTACGGTGTTAGAGGAATTCTAGACGTACGGCTAAACTTGTCGGGCTTAGATAAGCCAAGTATACGTCTCATGGCGTTGATAATTTGATTTTCTCCTTTTTCTAAGAAATAATAAAGATGAGTCAAAGTGAATAAATTTCATAAATCATTTGACAAACTTGTATAATATAGGACCCTCCTCTTTGAAACCCAATGAACCGTGACCAGTGGTATCGTTTTATTCATTGAAACCTAAAGACATTATGACTAGTACACTTATGAACTACATGCAAAAATACGCAGGAAGAGTACAAATCAAGTATATAATCCCTATCATCGCCTACTTTCCATGTATTGTTTTACAGAACTATGTAAAAGATCAAGTACCGCAACTCACTGTTGAATGTGTATTTAATCTTTTGCTTTACCTATGCGCCATGAACTTATTTTTCTACCTGAGGTGATGACTAACAGAACCAACCTCGCACACAGGTGCATAAGCTCAGTTGCCATGCTTCACGGTAGTATACAAAGAACAAGTAGGTAGTGCTCGCAGACTACTGTATTTTCTTTATTACTTGAATATTATCATTTTGGTTAAAAAACCAAATCATGTTTTTAATAAAGCCGAAAAGTGTTTGCTAGCTTTACATGTCTTTATTTCTTGGAACAGCTTAATTTTCTGGTGATTCCATGTAAATCTGACACTTATTATATCCAGAAATTGATATGAAAAAGTGGTGGACAACCTCTTTATTTTGTTAATAAATCTCTTAACCATGCATATGATCTGTTCTTTGTGTCATGCTACATCACGGATCAGAATGCATTCAGTGGTGTAAGATTAATTTAACCCATGGAAAGCTTATGATTAGAAAGTTTTACTATAATACTCTTTAGTGGTTTTAATGCTGATATGAATTATATTTATACATATGTTTATGATTTCGTTTTTTCATTTTATTTAATCTTTCATTGCTTGAACGCTTCAGATTGACAAAAACTGATATTAACATATTTTGATGAATAACAACGATAGAAGTACAAAAATTAGGAAGCTAACGAGTATAGCACAACTATGGGGCATTAATGGCAGTCTGACAATAAGTAAATTCATGTAAATCTTTTTTTATAGTTTAGATGAAATTGGTTTGCAGTTAGTTGACAGGTCTTCAATACATCCTGTACGGAAAAATGTAAGCTTTGAACAATTTTGCTGATTTATATTATGTCCTGTTCTGAAAGTGTTATCCTGATAATTCTTCCTTTCTTTCATTTTTGGTTTCCTCGGAAAACTTTACCAAGCTTTTAGAAGCATTCCATCTCTTGTACCAGCTGAAGATGCCCAATGAGATTTATCCGTTGGGCATTATCGAGAAAATCATCACTTGTTTAACTCTATCGCTTACACATGAATACAAACTTGAAGCACTGAAAATACTCATGTTAATAGCGTTAGTATTATTAAATTTATGCTTCCATTTTTCCGTCTAATTTGACTAATCAAGTCAGGAGGAAAGAGGTTTACGCAATATACTGAGATTGCAAGGTTGTGAGGCAACAATGAATCTACTGTTTGAAGCTGAAGAAGTTCTTAAACCGCATTGTTTAAGTTTATTGATCAGGTAATTAATAGAGTATTTGATTGTGATATAAACCTCCAGTGTGATTTATTGTTTTTTGATGTACTGACAGTTATTTAAGAAAGTAGACATCAAATTTTGTATCTTTTTAACTCATTGATATTTTCAGCAGAAAAGGAAGCACTTAACCGGAGGATGACCCATGCATGTTAAAAGATTTAAATTGATAATTCCGTAAATATTCTGACTTGCAAACTTAACACTAGTTAGTTTTTTTCATATCCCCATGCGTCCCTCTACTGACGATATTTTTAAAACTAGAAAAGAACCAAACACCTCTACCATACCTGTTATACTTAATTAAAAGAAAACTGATAAAACAATATGAATAAGACCATTTGAATGCGGAGGTGACCTGTTTATTTTTGTCAATATGCACCTATTTAGGTAACACACCGAAATGTGTCGAAATCATTGCTTTCAATATATATTTGTCTAGGGATTGGTCGACCTCTAGTAACCTTCATCACAGGCTGATGCCACATTGGCCCCTGGTATGGTACCGAATAGTCCAATATTTCGATTTATGAAATAGCAAAACTGTTACCGAATGTCTTCAGTGGATATTTATCATTACCGTAAACTTGGTCGACCCGCAGTTTGTAGCTTCCAATCAGGACTTCAGGAAATCCATCTTGAAACAAGTAACTAATGAGCACTAGATTGCAATTTATCTGGGAGACTGATGGATTTCAACTAGTGGCTAGATAGTAATATGCTTACAGCAAGATTCGACAGTCATTCACCTGAGTTCTCTCAAGGTTGTCTTTACATGATACTGAGGAGTCCCCAACCAAGATGAAACAGCCGTGCATCGTTTCTAGTTTTTAATGTTTACACTCCTTATCTCATTATTTGATGGTTGCTATTTTGCATAATAAAGACACCAATTAATTCTGATTGTTTTCATTTTGTTCAGGATTTCAGAATCTTTGAGGGGAAGAATCACTATTCTTGAATATACCAATTCTTCTCATCAACTCCTCTTACTGCTACAAAAATCAAAAAAGTTTAGTAATTTAACACTTCAGGTAAATCTAAAAATAGTTCAATTTATTTTATGTTAACAGTTCGATATACAAGATTGTAGTAGTTAAGTTTGTAACACTACAATGTGAAATTAAGTTTTTTTTCTTTATTTGAGTTGTTCATAAGACAAGTGTATATAGAAGAGGAAGCAATTAACACGGTCACGTAATCTTGGGTATTCTGCTATTTATTGATTCATGTAAAGTAAGCATTCACTTACAACTACTTTCAGGAATACCAGAAATATTGAGTGCAAAATATAATAAAAGTGAAGGTTTTCCAAGTAGAACCTCTTCTCTTCGACCAAAGAGCTACCATACTGTAATCTTGAAAGAACTTTAGGCATAATGAAAGAAGTCTCAGTCCAGTAAGAATAGAAACCACTTTATTTACCTATCTTAATGGTTATCATTGTTTATTGTCTTCCAATTTATCCACAGACTTTAGTCTGTCAAGTGTTTGTAGTAAAATATTGTTGTTAAACATTTCTTCAGTGTTGTATGATCATATTTAAGAGTATTACTGTTAAAAACTGTCTTTTGGTCAATCTTATCATCACTCTAGATCAGTGATACTTGAATTGTACTAACTATTTTAGGCAAATAATGTAGCTCTCTAAGATCAATGAATGGTTTAGAAGTAAACTAATCAAGCACACTTTTCAAAACCATAAAGTGCCTGATCACAAATATCCACTTTTGGATCTTAACAAAGGGACTCAACAATAGAATTTTTCCCCAAAAGGCCATAACCTCAGGGGGTAACATTGTAGGATAAGCTGAGAAGATATACTACTTAACATTAATAAAGGAAGATATATCGCTGTTAGCTGTTTCCATGTTTTCAGTAGTCATCTGAGTAGCATAGATTTGTGCAAAGATTCTCTATAGACTGTTTGATCTTTAAATAGATTACTTTTAAAATACTTTGCAGCATCTACAATTTCTGTTATTCACCAGTGTTTTTTCCACTTTGCAGCTTATAACTAACTTACTGGGAATACCTACGGCTAGAAAAATGTTTAATGTTCCAAAATTTGTAAGTACTTATTCAATCATAATCTATGCAACAAGCTACAGTTTCAGTGCGGAGAATTACATGCTAGTGGTAGATTACATTTTAATATTATTTGTAAGAAGCTTGATAACGTTAACTACTAAATCCCAAACTACTGATTTACCAATAACATGTAAGGTCTGAAATGCCGAGGTGGACATCTTGGTTTGAATTCAAATTTTTTAACCCGAAATCTATCGAAAATTTATGGTATGTACAACAGTTTGCGAATTTGGGGTTTAGCCATTAATTGATCGCATTTTCTGCAAAGAAGCACATAGTACTCAGCGTAACAGTTGATGAGTTTATAGATAAGAGTTAATCTCTAAACTCATTTCTGTCACTGTTAAGAACGTTTTTCCGCAATACAAATTTAAAATGAACAACAAGAGTGGAAAATATAGAATTTCAATCAATTCATAAATTTCGTCAGGATTTGTATACGATGATGCAATATAGAATGAAACACAAGAATAATATACAATTTGACAACTAATAAACTGTAGCAAAATGAAGTGCTATTAGGCTTGTGTCTTTCAACTTTGAATTCTAGTAACTGGAGGTATCATATAAGACATGGGGTCCAGTAATATATGGATGATACTTACACTGGCTATGAGAGCAAACCATAGATGGAAGCATGTTTAAAGAACTGCGCTTCTTCTCTTACGAATTTTAATATTGTATATTATCAAAGAAATGATGTATTAGAAAGTTTAGATGACCATTTGCTGCAGAGGGTTCATAATCCTACAAAAAGCCCATTAAAAAAAAACTAACGTTGACAACGCGGCAATCAAACTTCGTGTACTTCCTTCTAACCAAGCGCAAATGAAATTAAGTATGCAACTAAAACTAAGGTCATGCGCTACCGTGTAATTCAATAGTATATTATTTATTTCGCCAGAGGAATGAAGTTGATGAGGTACATAGCTGCGAAAATTTTCTGGAGCCATAACACCATCTGGAAACATTATACAGTCATCAACAATGGATAAAGATTGTCGTCTTTCATACAATTTGTTTGGGATCAGACGAATGAACATGCCGGGGGTCAGCCGCATCGGATGAACTTGGAAACCTGCTACAGAAACGGATCATGTAGAGTGTAGGTAGCAACCTGTGCTGCACTTACCGGAATGGGATGCTGAAGTCATTTGACTTGACAATTTTTCAGTGAGGGCTTCAATTAATTTCAGCTGAGCTGCTTCATTTTGAGTCTGCTACAGTTGTAAAATGGATTTCAGGCCATCCAACGAAATCCACATTACCAGCCAAAACGAAATTCCGTTCCTAGTGGTTGTGACCCTGAGAAATATGAAAGCATTTCCAATTATGTCAGTGAGTTTAATTATGATCCAATGTCTGGTCTCATATTCGATTCATGGTTTAATCGCTCTGAAGATGTTTTTCGTATTGAGTGCCCTATGTTTGATGATGCAGCCAAAGTTCGTCTATTATTACAAAGACTTCGTACTGTCGAGCACAACAAATATATCAATTTTATACTGCCGAAAAATTCCCGTGAGTTATCTTTCGATGATACAGTCAGCATTCTTTCTCAAATATTCGGCGAACAATCATCTCTATTTAATATTCGTTATCAATGTCTTCAGATGTCTAAATTACCTTCTGGTGATTATCTGACATTTGCTAGTAAAGTGGATCGAGAGTGTCAGAGGTTCAAACTTAATGAAACGACGACTGATCAATTTAAATGTCTGATCTGTATTTGTAGTTCGCAGAACCCTAGAGATTCCCATATTTGGACCAGAACTCTATCACGCTTAGAACAAGATCCAAATATGACTCTGCAGATGGTGACAACAGAATACCAGCGTTTGCTCAACCTGAAACATCATCCTGCTATGGTAGAATATAAGTTACAACCATCTAACTTGGGCTCTGTAAATGCGGTGAAAACTCCTTGGTCTACAGCTAAGCAAGTAGACCTTTAGTCTCCTAATTCTGGTAAACCCCCTCTCTCAGTGTGCTGGTATTGTGGTTCATGGCATTTTGTAAAATTTTGTCCATTCAAGAAGCACAAATGCCGTCAGTGTCGTCATTTTGGACATAAGGAGGGTTATTGTTTACCAAAGACAAGTCCTTCTAAGAAAAACAAACGTGATTCTTTCAAACTGCGATCATCCTCTCGAATACAGAGCATATCCATTACCGGTCCAAAAAGACCTGTTTGTCAAACCCAACGGTGGTAAATATTTTTCAGAGATTGACCTGGTGGATGCCTACCTTCAACTGGGAGTTGACCTGGGTTCTAGAAAGCTCTTAACAATCAACACACATCGTGGTCTCTACCAATATACTCGCTTACCATTTGGGGTGAAGACAGCATCCTCAATTTTCCAGCAAATCATGGACATTATGCTTGCAAACTAACCGGGTGTTGCTGTCTACCTAGATGATGTTATAATCAAAGGACGTAGTAAGTCTGAATTATTTGATCGGCGTGATGCCGTGCTATCAAGAACGTCAGAGTTTGGGTTTTATCTCAGAGAGGGAAAATGTACGTTTTTCATGGATTCAGTAAAGTATCTCGGTTTCATTTTTGATGCACAGGGACGCCGTCCAGGTCCAGAAAATGTACATGCTAATCAAGATATGCCTGCTCCCTCGAATAATACAACTGTACGATCTTTCCTTGGTTTCATCAGCTATTACAGTGTGTTCATACCAGAGATCCATCGCATTCGTGCCCCATTAAACCTCTTGCTGTCGAAAAATAAAAAATGGAATTGGTCACCTGAGTGTCAGCGCGGCTTCGGAAAAGTAAAGTCATTACTCATGTCAGACATTCTACTTACCCATTATGATCCAAATCTAGAGATTGTTGTTGCTGTGGGTGCATCAGATTATAGTATTGGTGCTGTCATATCTCACCGCTTTCCAAATGAAACTGAGAAAGCTGTTGCACATGCATCCAGAATAATGAATACAACAGAACGCAAATACACCCAGATTGAGAAAGAAGGTTTGGCACTTGTTTTCGCAGTTCAAACGTCCCATAAAATGCTGCATGCCAGGAGATTTACCCTATTTACTGACCACAAGCTCCTGTTGTCGATATTTGGCTCGAAGAAGGGTATTCCAGTATATACTGGAAATCGTCTCTAACGATGGGCTGTTACGTTACTGGGATATAATTTTGGTATTAAATACAAGTCCACATTTGAATTTGGTAACCTCGCCTGGTTAACTAGTTCACTAGTTACTAGCCGGTCCTAAGCCCGGGTAAACAGGGAAGGTTGGGCATAGGGCTAGCAACCCTACCCCGTAAAACAAATGTAACCGCTAAAGAAACTTCAAAGCACAAACAAAATATAAAAAATGAAAACAAACTTATTCCCCGCTGGAATCGGAGAGGCGAAATGACGCCAGTTGGTGAAAGCCTTCGGGAAGCCAATTGGCCGATGTGTCTTCTCTCGATGAAAGCGAAAGTAAACGTGGGGACATGGAATGTCCGTACGATGTTTGAACCCAGTAAGGCAGCCCAGATTGCAAAGAAGATGAGAAGGTATCACATCGAAGTGCTTGGGATTTGCGAAAGCAGATGGAATGGGAGTGGACTCTCCAAACTGTCAACTGGAGAATCAATAATCTACTCCGATATTGTCACCCAGACGACAACCACGAGCACACTGAGGGAGTGGCTATCATGATATCCTCAAGAGCATCGAAGGCTCTCATGTAGTGGGAACCAATCTCCTCCAGGATGATGACAGCAAGATTCAACTCAAAAGAAAGGAAGGTCACAATCATACAATGTTATGCACCTACAAATAATGCGGAGCAAGAGAAAAAGGAGGAATTCTACAGACAACTTCAATCAACACTGGACAAGACGTCAGTTGGCGATATCAAAATTCTAATGGGTGACATGAATGCCAAACTGGGAGGGGACAACACGGGAAGAGAACTAACCATGGGTCGAGAGGCGCTTGGTGAAATGAATGAGAATGGAGAATTGTTTGCAGAATTCTGCGCATTCAACGATTTGGTGATTGGAGGCAGTGTGTTCAGGCACAAAGATATCCACAAAGCGAGCGACATGGATTTCACCAGATGGACACACTAAAAATCAAATCGACTTTATCTCAATCTCGAGAAAATGGAGACGCAGTCTACTTAACACAAGGTCAAGAAGAGGAGCAGATGTAGGTTCAGACCACTATCTAGTGCAAGGAACCTTCCAAATCAAGTTAAAAGCCTTCAAGGAAGCTGGTGATAGACCTCAATTCAAGTACAACACTCGGAAACTGAAGGATGAAACTACAAAGGAGATCTTCACGACAGCCATCAAGACAAAGTGGGAGATATCGAGGAACATCCCTGAAGAAACCTGTGTGGAAGAACACTGGAAGTCTTTGAAAGCTATGTGGAAAGAAACCTGCACAACAGTATTAGGAAGGAAGAGGAAAGAAGACAAGGAATGGATCTCGACGGATACCTGGAAGCTGATAGAGTAGGGAGAGGAGGATGGTGAAGCAGAAGATAAACCAGTGCAAGGACGCTCAACGACAAGAGGAACTGAGCACAATGTATAAAACACTGGACAAAGAAGTAAAGAAGAGTGCACGCAAAGACAAAAGACACTTCTACGAAACACTGGCAAGTGAAGCAGAACAGGCTGCAGGTAAGAGAGACCTGACGACATTGTATCAAATAACCAGGTTGCTATCAGGGAAGAGATCAACACAGATGAAACCAATAAAAGATGAAGAAGGAAATTTAATTACGAAAGAAGAGAAACAGAGGAAACAATGGGCCGACCACTTCAAAAAGCTCTTGAATCGACCACTGTCACCACCACCTGCACTTCGTCCAGAAATACCACCTGCAGCCGCTGAATTACAAGTGAACATAAATCCTCCAACGAAAATGGAAGTCCTGAACGCCATAAAGCTACTGAAATGCGGGAAAGCAGCAGGACCAGATGGAATACCGCCAGAAGCACTGAAAACAGA